ATGGAACAAGTTGACAGGAATTCGCACCTTTTCAAGTTTTCTAGAAAAGTTTGTACAGATTTAGTATTACTTTTTTCCTTTGGTAATTCTGTATCTTCACTGGTATTCTCTATTTAGTGAGACATTGTTTTCATACTTACTTTTAGTTCTTTGACTATAACTGTAGATTTCAAGTCTATCTAATGTCTGGGCTTCCTTAGGGATAGTTCCTGATCAAGCTAGTGGAAATAGGCACTGTTTCTGGCCTCCTCAAATGCATGCACTCATTTCTACTCTGATGAATCTTTGGGGAGGACCGTTTGCAGATCTTCAGGTTTGTCACTATGAAGCTCTCTCCCCTCTATTGCTCTGTTTGTGTACTTTAACCACTTTGGTCTCCCCATATTCTCATTAAGAGAGTCCAGGGCTCTACCCAAGTTTCATCTTCCTGTGCCTTGACCTGGAAACTCAAAGTGATTAAGTTGGATAAGCATAGCATTCACTTTATTTTCCATCTTGTAGAGATTGCTGTCCTTCATTACTGTCCTTGAATCGTATCTTGAAAATTGTTTCATGTTTCTTCCAGTTATTTATTTTCTTATTGTTTTAGATGAGAGGTAAATCTAGTCCCTGTTACTCCATCTTGGCTGCAAGCAAAAGTCTAGATGATAAAAGTATTTTCAAGGTATTTTTTTTTTTAAATAGATTGTGAGAGATGAAGAAAAGGGCAGAATTGGCCAGAGGTGGCATTCAGGTTAAGACGCTGGATCCTATATGGCTAACTGCACAGTTTGAGTCCCAGACCTGGCACTTGAAAAACACACTGGGCACATGTGTGTGCATAACCAAAATCCAGAGAAAAGAATGGAGAGGAAGGGATTGTGCCATGGCCATGCCCCCTGGTGGTGATCTCACTTCCCCTCTTTCTCTGTCTTTCTCCATCTCTCTTTCTCTAGCAAGCACATGTACCTTATAGCAAAAATTATAAAAAAAGAAAAAAGAAGAGTACAGGATCATTACAGTCTGGTCTCCGTAGAGTGATCAGAGAAAGCTCAAATTGCGAGCCAACATTTAAGTCTCTCAAGACCAATAGTGACAGAGTGAACAAGCTGAGAAGGACTAGAAGTCAAAAGGATAGCAGAATCAAAGGCACAAAAATGGGGAAGTACATGGGATACCTTGAGGCCAGCAAATGTCTATGACAGAAAGAATGGTAAAAAAAAAACCAGGGCTTGAGAACTAGATGCAGTCTTGTATCATTAGTTGGGTCTGCTATGTGTACGCTCGTGCACATTTGTGTGCATATGTGTGTGTCCTGTTCAGTTTATTAGTTGAAGGCCCTGACAGTGGTGTAGTGGTCAAATGTGATGCTCTGTGTCAAATGGGAAGGTTTTATATTCACGTCCAGAGACCTGAGTGCACCAGGCATGCATGTGCCCAGGATCTGGGTCCGGTTGAAGGTAGGGATAGATTACAGTATTGAGACTATGTTGGGGATGCTCTCTGTCTCTCTCATTCGTGGATCATATAAATAAGCTTTAAAATAATTTTTATGTGCCATCAGATAGCATGGAGCTTAAGGCAGCTGCATCTCCCAGCTGGTCAGCTGTGTGGTTCAAGTCTTAGAGTCACTGGCTTAAAAATTATGCTGGAGGGACCAGCAGTTAGCATAATGGCTATGTCGCTAGACTCCCACGTAGTCGACCGCGGTTCAAGTCCTGGACCCAGTGGCTTAAACTCATGCCGGGCGCATGTGCGTGCATGCCCAAGATCCCGAGAGGAGAATGGAGGCGAAGGGATTGCGGTGTGGCCATCATCCCCTGGGGAGTGATTTCTCACTTTCTGTCTCTCTGTCTCTCTATGTCTGTCTGGTGAGCGCATGCGCCCTATAACAAAAACCTCTCCAAAGAAAAAAAAAGAAAGAAAAAAAAATTATGCTGGGCATATGTATGTGCATGCCCAAAATCCCAAGAGGAGAATGAGTCATCTACTCTCTAGTTTACCACATTCTTCTTTTTGTAAAAAAAGAATTATTTTATTTAACTATATTTATTTATTTATTTATTTATTTATTTATTTGACCAGAGAAAGAGGGAAAGCGAAAAGTAAGCCACCAGGTCCAGGGCTTGAACCCACCATGGGTCAGCCACATGGGAGTCCAGTGTCCCTAACCACCACACCACCTGCTGGCCCCTAGTTTGCCATATTCTGTTATATTATTATCCCTGATTGATTAATACTGTCCCTAACTTACTTTCCCTATTCACCTTACCCTGCCCTTTATAGACATTTCAATTTTTACTTTATAGTTAGAACATAGATTGGTTGCAGGACCACCAGTTAGTGTAACGGCTATGTAGCTGGACTCCCATGTAGTCGACCGCGGTTCGAGTCCCGGACTCGGTGGCTTGAAACTCACACTAGGCACGTGTGCGTACGTGCCCAAGCTCCCAATAGGAGAATGGGGGAGAAGGGATTGTGGTGTGGCCATCTCCCTGGGGGATGATTTCTCGCTTTCTGTCTCTCTGTCTGTCTGGCAAGCACACGCGCCCTGTGGCAAAAACCTCTCCAAAAAAAAAACAAAAAAACATAGATTGGGTTGGAGATAATTCTAAAAAGGTAGGCTTTAGCCAGGTTAAAACTGGAAATTATCGGGACCAGCAAATGAAATAATGGGTACGTCCCTGGACTCCCACATATTCAACAACAGTTTTAGTTCCAACCTCGTGGCTTAAACTCATACCAGCTGTTTGTGCATGCATGTCCAAAATCCTGAGAAGAAAATGGAGAAGAGATTGCAGCATGGCCATCCCCTGGGGGATGATTTCTCACTTCCTGTCTATCTCTCTGGCAAGCACACACACTCTCTTAAAAAAAAAAAAATTTAAAAACTGAGAATTATCCAATTTTTTTTAGAGCTCAATCTTCTCTTTCTTTCCTCATTATTCCATTCCACTCTAAATTTACTTCATTTATTTGTTTATTCATCTTTGTAATTTTTTGTTTGTTCTCATTCATTTGTATTTATTTTACTTACATAAGAGGACTTCAGAGAAAGTTTGTGTAAAGTAGAATTAAAGTGTGAGTTTATTTTAGTGCAAAAAAAATTATGAATCCATACATAGCTTTTTTTATAATACTTATTTCCCATGAATTTTTTTTTTTGGGGGGGGAGAGGTTTTTGCTATAGGGCATGTGCGCTCGCCAGAAAGACAGAGAGATAGAAAGTGAGAGATCACCCCCTGGGGGGGATGGCCACACTACAATCCCTTCTCCTCCATTCTCCTCTCAGTATCTTGGGCACACACACACACGTGCCCAGCGTGATTTGAAGCCACCAGGTCCGGGACTCAAACCACAGTCGACTATACATGGGAGACCAGCAACACAGCCTTTACACTAACTGCTGGTCCCTGAACTTTTTGAAGATTTTACTCATCTCTGTATAAATCTCTTCTGGCTACAATAACAAAACCACAGCCTGGGCGACTTATATAACAGAAATCTCTTTTTGCATAGTTTTGAAGGCTAGATAGAAATCCAAGGAAAAGGGACCAGCAGATGACGTAATTGTTACGTCACTGGACTCCCACATGGCCGACCACAGTTCAAGTCCCGGACCCAGCGTCTTGAAACTCATGCCAGGTGCATGTGCATGCATGCCCAAAAGCTTGGGAGGAGAATGGAGGAAAAAGGTTTGCAGCATGACCATGCCCCCTAGGAAGTGATTTCTCACTTTCTGTCTTTTTGTCTCTATCTCTCCAGTGAGTGCACGTACCCTATAAGCAAAAATGTCTCTCTAAAAAAAGAAAAAGAAAAAAAGTCCAAGGTCAAGGTGCTAGCAGTGTTGGTTTCTGTTCTCACTTCCTGGCTTGCAGATGACTGCCTTCGCTCTGGCCTCACCTGGTCTCTTTGCAAGTATAGAGAGGGAGGGAGGGAGAAAGAGAGAAAGAATATTATGTCTCTTCTTTTTCTTCACAAAACACTGGTCTTGGGAACCAGCAGTTAGCGTAATGGCTATGTCGCTGGACTCCCATGTAGTCGATCGCGGTTCGTGTCCTGGACCCAGTGGCTTAAAACTCACGCTGGGCGCGTGCCGTGTGGCCAGGCCCCCTGGGGGGTGATTTCTCGCTTTCTAGCTCTATGTCTCTCTCTGTCTGTCTGGCGAGCGCACGCGCCCTACAGATCTCTCCAAAAAAAAAAAAAAGACACTGGTCTTATATGACTAGGGTCCCACCCTAATGAAATGATTTAATCTTAATTGTTTCCCTAAAGACGCCTATCTCCAAATATAGTCCTGCTTGAGATTAGGGCTTCAATGTATGCATTTTGGGGGAATACAGTATGGTTCATAAGAATCTATTCAATTCTTATTATTACCTGATTTTGAAATTTTTTCTTTCTTCTCAAGATTTATTTTGGTGTTTCCCACCTTTCCTGGATATTCTAGAGAGAGGCTGTTTTCTCCTATTTGCCAGTTTTCCCTATTTTCATGTTTTTGTGCTTTCTTCTAACATTAAATTATACTACTACATACCTACCTACATTTTACTATTACCACTGAGTCATTCAGAAAGCTACATTGCCCAAGAAAGGATGTCACAGCTTTCTTATGCATAAACTTCTTTCACCCCTTTATTTGGCATTAAGGAGTATCTTACACTTTTACATGTGGTGTGTGTATGTGAGTGTTACCATCTAAGTTGATAAAAATTTTCTGGGCTTTTTTAGGCATCTAATAATTTTCTAAGACAGGCGAAATTTTATTCTTGTCTTTTCATCATGGATGAGAAGAAGCCCAATTAGCTAAAGGTTTATCTTCCAACATTATTTTAAGTAGTCCCTGTCTCTCACCCCCATATATAATCTCTCATATACTCCTCTCACATGTTTTTGTTTCTCAGATCCTCCCATCTGTCCCCTGTCTGTTCCCACTGCCAGTGCCATAGCTCAAAAACCTCATCCAGGCTATTATAACAGTTTTCTTATTCACTCTTTGTTTCTGATCTTTCTTTTTCTAGTTCTGAAATGAGCAAAGAACAGAGCCGGGAGGACAGAGGACATAAAATGTACATCCAGGTGAAGAAGAATGAGTAAATAGGCCGAAAAGTCACACTAATTGAGGTAAGAGGACTAGAAAAAAAACTGCATCAAACCATTCATAGGGAAAGGTTTAAGAAGGCCTAGTCATCAGTAACAAATGTGAGAGACAGGGAAATAAAATAAGGACTGGTACCCTTTGGAATTTGCAACCAGGAGGCCATTTGTAACCTCGGGAGGTAGTTTCAGTGGAGAATCTTGGAAGCATAAATTAGATCATTGTCTTCATCTCAAAGGGAAAAGAATGTCAGAACAGTCTTATTTTCAAGAAGCACAACTTTAAAAGAAAGAAAAAATTGGGCAGTAACCAGTAGAAAACATGGGTATATAGATTTTTATTAAAAGGGGAATGACAATATTTGCAAACTGAGAGGAAAGAGCTTCTTGAGAAGAAGCCACTTCAAGTAATAATCCCTGGGCCCATTTAAAACAGAAAGAGAAGAAAAGACACTGGTCTTATATGACTAGGGTCCCACCCTAATGACCTCGTTTAATCTTAATTGTTTCCCTAAAGACGCCTATCTCCAAATATAGTCCTGCTTGAGATTAGGGCTTCAATGTATGCATTTTGGGGGAATACAGTATGGTTCATAAGAATCTATTCAATTCTTATTATTACCTGATTTTGAAATTTTTTCTTTCTTCTCAAGATTTATTTTGGTGTTTCCCACCTTTCCTGGATATTCTAGAGAGAGGCTGTTTTCTCCTATTTGCCAGTTTTCCCTATTTTCATGTTTTTGTGCTTTCTTCTAACATTAAATTATACTACTACATACCTACCTACATTTTACTATTACCACTGAGTCATTCAGAAAGCTACATTGCCCAAGAAAGGATGTCACAGCTTTCTTATGCATAAACTTCTTTCACCCCTTTATTTGGCATTAAGGAGTATCTTACACTTTTACATGTGGTGTGTGTATGTGAGTGTTACCATCTAAGTTGATAAAAATTTTCTGGGCTTTTTTAGGCATCTAATAATTTTCTAAGACAGGCGAAATTTTATTCTTGTCTTTTCATCATGGATGAGAAGAAGCCCAATTAGCTAAAGGTTTATCTTCCAACATTATTTTAAGTAGTCCCTGTCTCTCACCCCCATATATAATCTCTCATATACTCCTCTCACATGTTTTTGTTTCTCAGATCCTCCCATCTGTCCCCTGTCTGTTCCCACTGCCAGTGCCATAGCTCAAAAACCTCATCCAGGCTATTATAACAGTTTTCTTATTCACTCTTTGTTTCTGATCTTTCTTTTTCTAGTTCTGAAATGAGCAAAGAACAGAGCCGGGAGGACAGAGGACATAAAATGTACATCCAGGTGAAGAAGAATGAGTAAATAGGCCGAAAAGTCACACTAATTGAGGTAAGAGGACTAGAAAAAAAACTGCATCAAACCATTCATAGGGAAAGGTTTAAGAAGGCCTAGTCATCAGTAACAAATGTGAGAGACAGGGAAATAAAATAAGGACTGGTACCCTTTGGAATTTGCAACCAGGAGGCCATTTGTAACCTCGGGAGGTAGTTTCAGTGGAGAATCTTGGAAGCATAAATTAGATCATTGTCTTCATCTCAAAGGGAAAAGAATGTCAGAACAGTCTTATTTTCAAGAAGCACAACTTTAAAAGAAAGAAAAAATTGGGCAGTAACCAGTAGAAAACATGGGTATATAGATTTTTATTAAAAGGGGAATGACAATATTTGCAAACTGAGAGGAAAGAGCTTCTTGAGAAGAAGCCACTTCAAGTAATAATCCCTGGGCCCATTTAAAACAGAAAGAGAAGGCCATCTCTTCTACTGAGTCAAGCCAGTAGAAAAATGTGTTCAAATGCCCTCATGTTCAAATGGCAGGTGGGGTATAAGAAAAGCGAGAAATCCCCATATGCCAGGTTTTGTTTCCTCTATTATATTTTGTTTTCTCTACCGTCTGCTGAAAGTGAATATTTCAGCCCTATTCATGTCCACAGTTATGAGTTTGTCACTTTCTGGTTTCAGCATTTTCTTAAGTATATTTAGATTTTAATTGTAAAAAAAAATAAAATCTGGGCCAGCTCTGTCTGGTGGTTAAGGGAGCCAGATTCTACTTGATTGACCTTAGTTCTAATCCTAATCCCAGCAGGTGAATAACATACCGGGTGCTGGGACCAGCAGTTAGCGTAATGACTGTGTCACTGGACTCCCATGTAGTCGACTGCGGTTCAAGTCCCCAACCCGGTGGCTTAAACTCACACCGGGTGTGTGTGCGTGCGTGCCCAAGATCCCAAGAGGAGAATGGAGGAGAAGGGATTGCGGCATGGCCATCCCCCCTGGGGGGTGATTTCTTGCTTTCTATCTCTCTTTCTCTCTCTGTCTTTCTGGCGAGCGCATGCACCCTATAGTGAATACCTCTCAAAAAAAAAAAAAAAAAAAAGAAAAAAAAAAAAAGGATGAGAAGAAGCCCAATTAGCTAAAGGTTTATCTTCCAACATTATTTTAAGTAGTCCCTGTCTCTCACCCCCATATATAATCTCTCATATACTCCTCTCACATGTTTTTGTTTCTCAGATCCTCCCATCTGTCCCCTGTCTGTTCCCACTGCCAGTGCCATAGCTCAAAAACCTCATCCAGGCTATTATAACAGTTTTCTTATTCACTCTTTGTTTCTGATCTTTCTTTTTCTAGTTCTGAAATGAGCAAAGAACAGAGCCGGGAGGACAGAGGACATAAAATGTACATCCAGGTGAAGAAGAATGAGTAAATAGGCCGAAAAGTCACACTAATTGAGGTAAGAGGACTAGAAAAAAAACTGCATCAAACCATTCATAGGGAAAGGTTTAAGAAGGCCTAGTCATCAGTAACAAATGTGAGAGACAGGGAAATAAAATAAGGACTGGTACCCTTTGGAATTTGCAACCAGGAGGCCATTTGTAACCTCGGGAGGTAGTTTCAGTGGAGAATCTTGGAAGCATAAATTAGATCATTGTCTTCATCTCAAAGGGAAAAGAATGTCAGAACAGTCTTATTTTCAAGAAGCACAACTTTAAAAGAAAGAAAAAATTGGGCAGTAACCAGTAGAAAATATGGGTATATAGATTTTTATTAAAAGGGGAATGACAATATTTGCAAACTGAGAGGAAAGAGCTTCTTGAGAAGAAGCCACTTCAAGTAATAATCCCTGGGCCCATTTAAAACAGAAAGAGAAGGCCATCTCTTCTACTGAGTCAAGCCAGTAGAAAAATGTGTTCAAATGCCCTCATGTTCAAATGGCAGGTGGGGTATAAGAAAAGCGAGAAATCCCCATATGCCAGGTTTTGTTTCCTCTATTATATTTTGTTTTCTCTACCGTCTGCTGAAAGTGAATATTTCAGCCCTATTCATGTCCACAGTTATGAGTTTGTCACTTTCTGGTTTCAGCATTTTCTTAAGTATATTTAGATTTTAATTGTAAAAAAAAATAAAATCTGGGCCAGCTCTGTCTGGTGGTTAAGGGAGCCAGATTCTACTTGATTGACCTTAGTTCTAATCCTAATCCCAGCAGGTGAATAACATACCGGGTGCTGGGACCAGCAGTTAGCGTAATGACTGTGTCACTGGACTCCCATGTAGTCGACTGCGGTTCAAGTCCCCAACCCGGTGGCTTAAACTCACACCGGGTGTGTGTGCGTGCGTGCCCAAGATCCCAAGAGGAGAATGGAGGAGAAGGGATTGCGGCATGGCCATCCCCCCTGGGGGGTGATTTCTTGCTTTCTATCTCTCTTTCTCTCTCTGTCTTTCTGGCGAGCGCATTTTTTTTCCCACAAAAAAAAAAAAAAAAAAAAAAGAAAGAAAAAAAAACATACCAGGTGCCTGCCCAAAATCCTGAGGGAATGGAAGAATGGAGAAGGGATTGCAGCATGACCATACTCCATCAGAGTGCCTTTTCCCCCTCCCTCTCTGTAGGTTGCTCTGTCCCTGGTGACTCTCTGGCAATTTTTTTTTTAAAATAAGAGTAAAGTAAAATCTAATTGTGCAGAAAACTTGTAGATGAGTAGTTATATAATTTCAGATTAAGGCTTGGCTTTTTCATCTTGACATCAGAATCAAGATACATTCGAAAACAATTTTTTTTACATTTAAATAATAGAAACTTCAAAATGATGCATGTTTGGCCAGTCCATGGTGTGGTGGTTAAGGTGGCAGGATACCACATGGCCGACCTTGCGATTCAAGTCCTAGACCCAGTGGCTTCAAAACCTCAGTAGGCATATCTGTGTGCGTGTGTGCCAAAAATCTCAAAAGGAGGGAGAAACAGAAGAGAAGGGATTGTGACAAGACCATGCCCCATGGGGGGAGGGGGTGCGCTTTCTCACTGTCTCTCTCTCTCTCTTTCTGTTTCTCTACAGTAAACACATGTGACCTCTGGCGAATTTTTTTTTAAGGTTTTGACACAGTTTATGTGCTCTTGCTGGGGAGAAAGACAGAGACAGAGAGAGGGAAAATGAGAAGTCACCCTTGCGGAAGAGTGATGGTCACACCACGTCCCCTCTCCTCCATTCTTCTTCTGGGGCTTTGGGCATGCACACATATGTGCCCAGTATGCTTTTGAAGCTGCTGGGTACAGAACTCAAACTACAGTCAACCATGTGGGAGTTTAGTGCCTTAACCACCACATCTGCTGACTCTCCTCTGGCAAAATTAAAAAAAAAAAATTATGCATGTCAAAAACATTAAAATTTTAAAAGAAAAATGGCCTGAGATAGGAAAAAAATTTCATGTTCAGTACTCTTACCATTATAAAAAGCTCAGTGTGGCTTATCCAGCATAGCCCTGGTAAGACACTGTGCTCTATAGGCTGATATCACATGGAGGATCCAGGTTCAGTTCCCAGTTTGATCTAAAGTCTGGGCTTTTTAGTGTGTGCCTATAATCCCAGTGATTCAGAGAAGCTGAGGCAACAGTTGAAGAGTGGCCTCAGTAACAAAACAAGACACGTCTTAAAAAGAACCAGGCATGGTATTACACCTGTAGTCCAAGCTGGAAAGACACCAATAGAAAAATTGGCAAAGAGTATGCAGAGGACATTCTTAAAGTATTCTTAATAGAATTTCTTAAAGGAATAATATAAATGGCAATAAACACCGAAAAATTATCTTCCAGTGGTCAAGTTAATGGAAATTAAAAGAGTAATATAAGATGGTATTTTTCTCTCACAAATTGGCAACAAGTTTCAAAACTTATTCCCTCGTTCACTTCATTCACTGCTGATAAGAGTGACCTAACAGTTCTACTTCAAGAAACCCATTGTAGGAAAATACTCAACTGTAGATGGAGAGATTCAATTAAAATGCTACTCCTTCAAACATTGTTTTAAAAATTGAAGGAAAAGGGACAAGCAGATGGCATAATGGCTATTTCACTGGACTCCCATGTAGTCGACCCCAGTTTGAGTCTTGGACTCAAATTTAACACGGTGGCTTAAATTCACTCTGGGCACATGTGCGTGCATGCCCACGATTCTGAGAGGAGGATGGAGGAGAAGGGATTGCAGCGTGACCATCCCCCCTGGAGGGTGATTTCTCGCTTTCTGTCTCTGTCTTTCTCCGTCTTTCTGGCAAGCACACACGCCCTATGGCAAAAATCTCTCCAAAAAAAGAAGAAAAAAATTTTATTTCTAAAAATAGTTAAATTATGAAACATAATTGAGTACGATACTATTATTCATTGTATTATGGAAATAGTTTTATAGACATAGATGTTTGTGGTAGATTTTAAAGTTAAAAAAGATAGTTATCTCAGTAGTGAGATTGTGAGTTTTCTTTCATTTTGTTTTGAATATTGCCTAATTTTTCTACTCAAAATATGTCCTATCTTATCATTTCTTTCAAAATGAAAGTGATTTCAGAAATTTTCTTTTTTTTTTTTTAATTTTGCCAGAGGCATGTATGCTCTCCAAAGGGAAGCATAGAGCGAACAAGAGAAGAAAAGTGAGAGAACATCCCCATGGGGAATGGTCACACCACAGTCCCTTCTCTTCTATTTCCCTTTTCTTTTAGTGAGTTCAGGCACACATACACTTGTTCCTGGCATGTTCTTCAAGCCTCTGGGTCTTGGACTTGAACCACACAGCCAGCCATGTGAGATCCAGCCACCTTAAGCACCACATCCAGGCTGGTTCAGAAATTTTCTAATACAGCTTATTTGTACACTTAAACAAATCTGTAAACCTTTAGAGAGTATTTCTTCAATTTTTGTAGTGTAGGACCTAGTATTTTTATGAATCTTATTTTTCACACATAACATACACATAAACACTAACCTACTTAGGTCCATATTCATTTTCATAATCCTGCTACACTGGATTTCCTTTCTCTTTTCATCTGAAGTACCTAAAAACCTCCCTCACTTTTGTTTTCTTCCTCTGTTAGCTTATGGAGGTATTTTATAAGACACCCCAGAGCAGCAAAGGATATACATTTATTCTTGTATCTTTTGTTTAGATGGCCTCTTCTCTTTCTTTCAGCAATCTCACGGTCTCTTAGCTGCCAGGTCCCTACGCTCTGAGCATTCTTCATGCCAGTGTGCCACGTTGCTTTTCCCTTCAGAGGTAATGACCAGTTGTCAGAGGTATACACTTGACTGTCTCTTCCTTTTATTCTGTCCCTTTTCTCCCTCTCATGGGTAGTCTTCATCATTTTCTGTCTGATATGTTTCTTCCTCTTCTAAGTCTGAATCATTTCCCTTAGAGATGTTATCTTTGCTGCCTACTTCAGCTTTTTTTAGCTAAATTTCTCCTGGGAGTCCCTCTCCTGGCTTCTCTTCTGGTCCTCCCGGCTTCTCTGTTTACTTCTTACAATGCAGTCTCCACCTGATTAACTGGACCTCCATCTTCTGCACGTGCAGGATCCATCTCACTAATTTCCAGCTGTTCTTTTGTCCCCTCCCCCTTCCCTTTTCTGTTTTTCTTCTTCTTTTTTTGTCGTCCCCCTATTATGAACAACTCTGCTCATTTGTTTGACCTTATTCTTCTCCAAGATTCTTTTTATTCTCAACTCTGTCCTTTGCAGGAATTTATAAGGTGACTCCGTGAATTGTGCCCAATGTTCATTTGAACCTTTAAAAATTTCTTATTTTTATTGAATCTAGTTTGGGGTAAGTTTTACATGCTTTCCCTGTGCACACAAGGTGACAGCAATGGTATTTTTTTTTTTTTTACTCCTAGTGATATTATAACTTGGCTCACTGTACTTGTACTTTTTATACTCAACTTAAGTTGCTTTCATGAGCTTCACATGAGTATATTTAGGACTCGTAAGTACACTGGCTATCTGTGCTAGCTCTGTTTAACAAACTTAAAATCAGGAAACATGGACTGATAAATTATTTTTCTTCTTCATGTGTAAATGTCTTTTAAAAGATAGTGAAATAATTTTTTTTCAAGATTAGACCTGTCTCTAAAATCACATACGTTCTCTTGCCTTCCTATCCTCCTTTCCCAGAGAAAGCCCTTGGAGACTAGTTAGCGGGGCCAATCAGTCTCATGGTAGTTAAGGCAGCTGGATCTCATGACTGACTGCAGTCTGAGTCCCAGAAACCTTGACCTGTGGCCTGAAAGGCATGCTGGGTGCACGTGCGTGTGCATGTGTGCCCTGAGTCTCAAGGAGAGGGAGAAGTGCGGGAGAGGGCCTTCTGGCATGACCATCCCCTATAAGGAATGCTTTCTTTCTCTCTCACACGTGCTCTCTCTCTTTCATGAGCTTTTTTAAAGGACAGAATGGTTAGCCACAGGTACCAACCATGATTTATCTTAGGAACTGTCAGCGGACTCGACTACCACCTAAACCAGATTGCCAGCATTCTGAGGCTGCAGTTTATTTTCTTCAGGCCACCAAGTGTTAAATCCTTCTGTTTAGAGAAAAGACGGTAACGTTTTTGTCTAAGTCCAGTTACTCGTCAGTGCTGTGTGAATAACTGCATTAAAGCATTTCAGGCTCAGGTCAGCAGGTGGCATGGTGGTTAAGGCACTGGGTCCCCACATGGTTAACTCTGCTGTTTGAGTCCTAAACCTGGTGGCTTGAGAAACATAGCAGACACACGTGGGTGCATGCCCCAAATCCCAAGAGTGAGAAGGGATTACAGCATGTCCATACCCCCCTAGGGGATGATTTCTTACTTGGTCTCTCTCTCTCTCTCTGTCTCTTTAGCAAGTACATGATCCTTATGGCCAAAAATAAAAAAATAATAATAATAATTTAGGCTCAACCCTAATAGCTTATAAACCACTAGTTGTAGTACACCTACTACATGGTCACTAAGTAAGAAATCTTTTGTTCATTTGCAAATTGGTTCTTGATTTTTATTAATGATTTAATTTTTTTTACATCAAAGCTGTGTTTAGATGGATAGTTAACTGTCAATATCTTGGTAAATCAAAGGAAGTATTTTTGGATTAATTTGAAAAATATAATCATGAACCTAAATATAAATGTAAACATAGGCATAGACTAAATGTAAGAATGCCATTTGGGAACACCAGATGGTGTAGCAATTACGTCACTGGACTCTCACATAGCCAACAGTGGTTCAAGTTCTGGACCCGGTGGCTTGAAACTCACTCCGTGTGTGCATGCACATGCATGCCCAAGATCCTGGGAGGAGAGTGGAAGACAAGGGATTGCGGCATAGCCATCTCACCTGGGGGGTGATTTCTCACTTTCCCTCTCACTGTGTTTGTCTCTCTTCAGCAAACATATGCACCCTAAGGCAAAAACCTCTTTTTTAAAAATGCCATTTAATAAAATGGTTATCTTTTCTAGTCACGATCCCTGAAGCATCATCTGCAATGAGTTTTTCCTCATCGAATGGCCAACTTTACGCTAATTGCCTCCTCTTAATTTCTACAAGTTATCGGAGTTCTTTTTATCTGTATTTGAAATGTTTATTTCTTTTTTTGCTTATATTAATTTGTTAATGTTAGTGCAGACCTTAAATAGTTGCTCATGATACAAAGAGATATTAATTGTCTGAGAGGCAAACTAGAAGCTATGTCATGGGTGCTTTGGGCGCACGCATGTGTGTGTGTGTGTGTGTGTGTGTGTGTGTGTGTTTTGCGATGTCTTTTATTACCCGTGATATTACCTTGGCACACCAATATTTGGTTAGACTAGAAGACATTATATAAGTTCATTTAGTACATTTTGTATTCTTTTCTCCCTAGTAAAGGGTTGAAAAAGAATAAAGAGACACCCAAAGGTACAAAGGTGAAGTGACAAATTAAGCCATATGGAATTTCTCTTCAGAATTCAGAATTTTCAAATGCTAAGGAAGAAAAGAAGAAGCCACTATTTCTTGTCCTTATGAAAGAATCTGTAAAAACCAGAAGCAAGGTTTGCGTTGAAAAATCAGTATGATCTTTGAGTTTAATTGTTGTAAGTCATTGTGATTGTAGGTGGTCAAAATATTGCTACTTGTATTATTAGTAATTGTATCAAAATTATATTACCACTGCTGGAAAACTAGTAAAGAGAAAACCGTAATTGCTACTCAGCAAATGTGAATAAAAAGTATTTGCATTGTTAGGATGTCTGCTGAGTAATCGTTTAATATTATTACATCTGTAATGCGGTTGTATGTGTGATGTTATGTTCAAAATCTGAAGTACCTGCTTTTGAAATTAACTTTATTTAAAAAATAAACACCTTTAGAATATTGTGTATTCAAAATGGTATCAGTAACAAAGGCATTAAAAGAAAACAATTTGCTTTTTAGAATAAAAAGTTTGTGTTTCATTTGAATAAATGGTATATGTAACTTGATACTCCTAAATGAAAAGTGATTTTTGAGTGAACTGGCAACAGTGTTCCAAATTTCTTTACTCTTTAAGAAAGTTATTTTTAAGTATAAGTAACTTATAGATTTACTTAATATTTATTCTCAAACATTTGTCTTAATATTTGTTTTTAAATTATTGCATTATATTATTTATTTCCTTGGTTCCAAAATAATGTTGTCATTATTATGTGACTATATGTTTAGAAGTTTTGATATGATAATAGAGAAATTCATCTTTTTGTGTTTTTCTCTTGAACCTTCTCCTTTCTCAAATACGGTAAGTCTGTCAATCAAATATTTAGCCCTAAGAAGGCCAAAACTAACATAAAATTAGAAAAACTTATTTACCAAATTAGACAATTGATTCCATTAAAATAAAAAGTGAGAAAAAACGGTGTTAGGCATTGAGGTATAAATTTTGCCCAGATGTATACCCAGTGTGAAATATTTTCTCCTATCTCCACATGTTATAGAGGCATAAAACACATGTCATAGAGGCATAAAAATTTATTACACAGGCCCCTGCTGTGTAGAACATTTTTAAGGAGGCATTTGAGAAGTCGTAACTGTCATTGCTGCCTGATGCAGCCTGCAGAAGTCTGATCTGATAGTGCCAGGCTTTCATTGTGCTGGATGTGCTGCAGGGTCGGTGGGGCCTAGCCAGGTTGAGTCACCCATGTGCAAGCTTGTTTTTTGTCTCGTGAATGCACTTGATAATTAAACAATAAATATATGTGTCTCTGCAGTTTAAGCTCATAGTTTTGAGATGTGTGTTGATTCTTTAATTTTAGTTTTGATCACAAAGAATTTCAACAGGTTGCAGAAATACTTTAAATCAAGAAAAATGAAAAATTGTGTCAGAGGACACTAAACATTTGCTGAGGGCTACTAAAGACAAAAGTAAGAGTTGAGGCAAATGCCAAAAAAAGTTAATTCTACTCAAAACCCAGTCCTTTTCTTTGTCCTCTAGCAAAGTCAGTCTCAGGTTATATTCACAAATAGAATAATCAAATGCCTTAACTACACTCTCTGAGATGAAATGGGGTGGAGAGATATAAAAGTGCCCTCCAAATAATGGGTTTAGATTTTAAGCAAGGAAGTAAGTCACCAGAATTGATCAGATGATTTGTGGCACTATACATTTTTTTAAGAATTATTTTATTTAACTTTATTCATTTATTTATTCAACTTTATTCAATTATTTTATTCAACTTTATTCATTAATTTGACCAGAGAGGGATAGAGCAAGAGAGAGAAAGAGGGCAAGTGAGAAAGCAAGCCACCAGGTTTCTGATTCAGACTGCGGTCGGCCATGTGGGAGTCCAGCCCCCTTAACCATCATGCCGGCTGCCAGCCCCAACACTATACATTTTCTTAGTAACAAATTGGTTTTCTTTGTTTTAACTTTATTCTGAACTTGCTGAATTTTACCCCATGTTATATCTTTCTTCCAAAGAAATAACAATTTGACCAAATTTTCTATATCTAAATATTTTCAAGCCATTTTAAAAAATTTATTTCCCGGGCTGGCAAGTGGCTAGTGGTTAGGGTGCTGGACTCCCACATGACTGTACACAGTTTGTGTCCCAGAACTGACAGCTTGCTTTCTCACTTCCCAGCCCCCACCCACGTCTGTCTCTGGTCAAACTAAAAACTAATAATAATGATAAATAAAATAATTCTTTAAAAAATGTATTTCCCAATCATTGATTCAACTCCATCTTAAAGGTTAAGATTTCTTCAGTATCAAAACTGCACCATGAATAAGACTTGGAAACTGAGAATAAAAATCAAGTTTTTAAAATATTTAAAACATGAACTGGTAATTTTGGTAATTTTGAAATCTCATACTGAGTTTCTGTCATTTAAATGCAAACTCTTGACCTTAACTTTATTTTTAAATTAACAGAAAAACTAAGGTACATTCCCTTTAGGAATTTCACCAGGAATCTATGTAGGAAACAACTTACCATTTTTAGTTCTATAAAGATAGTGTTATTTTAGTTGTAAATTTAACTCAAATTTTTTAGTTGTTTTAGTTTTTTTACATTCAGTCACTGTATATTTTTAAAACATAGAAAACTAATTTTCCCAGGATGAACATATTGAATATATTTAAGAGTATTAGAAAGCTATTTTAATTTTAAAAGCTGTAACAGAAATTCTTGACCTTACACTTTCATATATCTTTAAATTATTTCAGTCTCAGGATTTTAAGTAAGTTATGAAAACATTTTTTAACAATCTAGATTTTTTAAGTCATACTTCATCAGTTTCTACTTAATCGAACTTAGTACAGAAAATATTCCCCCAAATCTTCACTGTACTGTGTACACAACTTCATTTGCTCTTTACATCTATAAGGCAGATAAAAATCTTGCCTACTCTAAAGTAAGGAAATCAGAGTTATCAAGGTCAAGTAGCTTGACCAAATGCACATGGCCAGTATATGGCAATGCTAACAGTAAGTGGAGGTCTGTCGTCTGTCCGACTCCCCTGGATGATATTTGAAGTACTCCATCTTAGTTGCTGTGGAGAGTAAGTTAGTAAATGCGTATGGTTGGAAAGTACAGCACAAGCAAGAGGGAATAAAGAAGCAGTTTGAATGTACTTATGAGCACATTTAAAGACTAGAAAAATCTAATATGTTTGTAATGCAACAGTGACCTGAATAAAATATATCTGAGTGGACATTATTTTTATAAAAAATAGACCACTTGTTTATCCCTTAATTATTTCAGTAACTCTTTACTCCATATTGTAATTCTTATGTTTTCTTAAGAAATAGGTTCTATAGAACCAAACTAATTGCATGTACAGTAACATTTTATTCAAGAAACAGAAAAGGCGCCATTCCAGTCATGTAAGAGATAATAAAAACATCAAGAAGCATGTCAATCAAATGCTGTGTTGACTGGAGAACTCAATCTATGGATGGACCCAATTATCTGCAAGAGAATTGAATGTCAGCATCATTTAAGGTTAACAATGGACTAACTAGGCAAGAGCAGACAGCTACTCTCTGCAGAGACCCAGGAAGCAAACTTGGTAATGAGGTACTTCATTCATCATATCCTTCTGCTCTAATTATTAAGGTGAATAGGAAATACTTTAAGCTGAGGCGGGAACTGGATAACATAAAAACATTTGTTTTGTAAATACAATGAATGCTATTTTTCTAATGATCCCCTTTACATCTACATCAAGCATATGTTGTGTGCACCCTGTTTTCTAAAGTACTAATGTAACACCTCAACTTATACTGATTCGGGATAGGTAATTTTCATCTTGGAAAGATGAGAATGTTAGTGCTGCTAAGAATCTACTATTCTAATTTCTACTCAATCTAAAAACAAAGGACATAAAATAGATACATATGTATGTGTAAATGGATGATTGATACATGTACACACACACACACACACCATTTATAATTTATGTTTCACTTTTCACTTAGGTCAAAATGGTCCAACTATTTACTTTCATATTATTTCTAAGAGTAATCAACAATCTGATTTTTACTTATTTTAGTTCATTTTTTTAAGTCATCACTCAAGCCTAGTCAGAAATCATGAAAGAATATAATAGAAAATTTAAGAATGTTCTGTTTAGGTGACCTTTGTATAATATAATTCACATTGCCCATCAAAGGATAAGTTCTTAAAATTGCTTGGGATGATGATGGTTTGCTTAATGAAAATAAGAAAAAGTGAAATCTAAAAGCAGAAAAAAAAGCAAGAAGTTGAAAATAACTTGTCACCAGAGTAAAAATAAGCAACCGAAGCTTGCGAAAAGCGGTCATGAGACTAAAGGAAGAGGGATCCCTGGAGAAAAGCTTGGTAACATCAGTTTGGTTTTTCAGTGTTTTCAGTTAAGTATCAGTAGTTAATTTTTTTCTGTTCAATTTGTTCACAGGGCCATTCTGTTGTTCCCATGTAATTTTTTCTGAGCTACAAGTCTCCAATTTAAGGTAAATGAAAGATGGGTAAACATAGTAAAGTTTCTACCATCCCTTCCTATTGTACAAAAGTTCATGTTTAGAAGTATCTTCAGATTCTACTTTTAGCAGCTAAGTATTTCCATAGTGGTAAAGAAATATCAGTGAAATCTATGTGCTTTAAGAACATCAAATTCTTATACTTATCATGTGTGCAGGCAGAGTACATAATAAACTAGTCTATAGCAGCTGTAAATTTCTGAGGATTTATCTAACCACAAATACATTGAAATGGGGAAATGGGTCTATATTAAACTATGCAAGATGCTGCTGGAGCTTTGCCATTTCTGCAACATCCTGTAATTAATTTATCATGACAGGTCTGGCAAACTGAAACATCCAATACACTTGCGACAGACTGTTAGTTATACTATAGTTTTTGGAGATCCTGCAGTCACATAAAGTAAAGGCAAGTTTTTCTTTCAGCATGAATGTAGAACTATTATATTTAAAATGCTCTATAGCCAAGACAAATTTATTAGCTTTGAATTTCAAAATAAGAATATCTAGAATATGGAAAAGAACTTGCGCTGAAATAATGAGCTTAGTCTATCTCTGCCATGTGTGGTCTTTTCCTGAGGAGGGACAGCCCTGGGTAGGAAAATGATCGTCTGGTCAACTCTTCCCATGTATGTGTTCCTGGTGCTAGATACGATGGAATGGATTCTCTCCTGAAAGAAGACTTGAAGATGAGCTCTCCCTTGAGAATCTCTTGAATACCTCTTCTTCCTGTAAACAAGGCTCACAAGACCACCTCCTCCATCTGTGTGACATCTTCTTTTCGAGCTGGTTTCCCACCAGAGTGCAAATAAATATAGAAAGTGCCTCTGATTCCACCCCATCCAATCCAGAGGGAAAAGATGCAACTTTATTTTGCCAAAATAGATCTTTCTATGTAACAATAAATTCTTTTCAGTTCCTGTCAGTGGGAAAGAATAATCCTCTCTTTACTTGATGTGTTTACTAATTTGACATAGGTGGTATAGTATTGAGGTTAAAAGTATGTCTGTAGTAAATAAGACCCCTTATGGCTGGGAAGTGGATGTATCTCCCCTAAAATGTAAAATCTATGTTGTTATAAATGTCCACAGCCTTGCTCCTTTCTAGTTAGAGAAGATCAGAGTTTATAAACAAGAAGATCTAAGGCGGTCACCTAGAATCTGGAAATTTGGGTAAAAAGGGAAAGCTCCCAGCTGGTGGAGAATAAGATTAGCAGTGCTCTATAGGAAAGAGATGAGAAGCCAGGCAAGGGTCTCAAGTGGTTCCACCCTAGTTACCAAAGATGAACTGTAAACACTTGACTAGTTATATGGTCTTCATATTTTCTTTCGTGATTTTTCTCTTTAGTCTCAAAATTTAAAAATGGAAACTACCTCACAGTCCCTGAGAAGGTTGGCCTACATGTTAAAGGAAAAACAACCAACAGAATCCCATACTAACCCAACAGGAAAGTGAACAAAAGGTAATAGAGGAAAACCTTTGTTATTCTCCAGTCCTCTCATCTGAACATCTCCCTTCAGGGCTCTTCTATGTAACACTTTGAAAATGGGATGGATGGCATTGAGGGGGAGGCGTCCAAAAAATAAAAACTGAGACCCTTTCACACCTACATCCCAGTTAAGTAACTTGACCAAGATCACGGAAAGTTATGGCAGGACCCTGCCCCCTAGTACCTATTCCCAACTCTTTCTAGGTAACATTCTTACTTAAAGCTGTATTATTAAATTCTAATTCTGTGGACCAGCAGGTGGCATAATGTTTACATCACTGGACTCCCACATGGCCAACCGCAGTTTGAGTCCCCAAACCAGAGGTTTGAAACTGAAACAGGATGTGTATGCATACGTGCCCAAAATCTCAAGAGGAAAATAAAGGAGAAAGGATTGTGGCATGTCTATCCCCTCCAGGAGGTGATTTCTTACTTTCTGTCTCTGGCAAGTGCACGTGCCTTACAGAAAAAATATCTCCATGAAAAAAAAAAATCTAATCCTGAAAAAGTCCTAAATTTTCTCAATTTCATCACAACTAAAGGTAAATATACCTATAAAACATGGTCTTCATTCAGACAGTCCTCTAAAATCAGGTTATCACAAGTGATGATTTGAGTAAGTGGAGGGTTGTAAGTAGGTAAACAACTCTTGATTGGAGTCAGGAGAAGTGATATTTCTATGCTGATCTTAAAGAGAGGTAGTTTTGTTTTGTTTTATTGACTATGGACCACTGGATACAGATAATATTCTCTTTACATATTAATAGCTGAAAGTATTGACCACTTTCCTAAATATATGTTTTGTAATGTAAGCTAATTTAAGATACTCAATAATTTTAATACTTAAATACGTTATTTTTAAAGTGTGTGGGTAGGTGCATGTACATATTCGCTTACTCAAAATTATTTTCTTTAGGTTTATTTCTGCCTTGGGCAAGAGAAAGAAAGACAATAGACAACACACCCATTAGGGTCCTGGTGCTATGTTCTACGTCCCCCCCAACCTTCAGCCAGTCCCAGATGATGGGCAAGCATATGCCTAGCATACTCAGGAAGGCCTCCAGATTTGAACCAAGAACCCAGTGGGTCATCTTCACAGGGCATCACATTATACTACTGAGCCACTGCCTGGCCCCCCACAGCTAATTATTCCATCTCTATTCGTGGAGCACTAGAGGGAGCTGAATGGATACTTGAACCATTGAAATTGTCACACATTTATTGCCACTGTCACCCTACAGTGTTTTTCAGAGGACTTCCATATACATTACTAGTCTTGAGCCTCATAATAATCTTTGTTATACAGAAAAGGCGTTACTCCCCCATTTTTTTTTTTTCAATCTAATTGCGAGGAGGTTACACAATTTGCCCAACAACTATTTGTCAGAGTCCAGATGTCCTCCTCCTCCCAGGGCTGTGTTCTTTCCAAACAGAAAAACTCTTGACACCTGAAAAATAGGGAAATAGATTGTATGAAAAGACCATCTATATTCCCTATATAAGAGGCAACTAAAAATGACTAAAACTAATTCAGACATGTGCCTTTTTGTTTTGTTTTTGGTTTTTTTTTGGAGAGGTTTTTGCTATAGGACACGTGCGCTCGCCAGAAAGACAGAGAGAGACAGAGAGACAGAAAGTGAGAAATCACCCCCCAGAGGGATGGCCACGCTGCAATCCCTTCTCCTCCATTCACCTCTTGGGATCTTGGGCATGCACGCACACATGCCCGGCGTGAATTTAAGCCACCAGGTGCAAGACTCAAACCGCGGTCAACTATATAGGAGTCCAGCGACATAGCCATTACACTAACTGCTGGTCCCAGATGTGCGCCTTTTGAAATCACTTTAATGTCCCATCCTAAAGTCAGCTGTAAGAAGGTGTTTGCAGTCCTGTATTTGAAAATACTTATTTTAATGCAAGAACCTAAATTTGTAACAGAATTCAGATAAAAGAACATAAAAATATTTTTAAATTATGTTTTGTATACAGAGGAGAAAGAAAGTGTGCAGAAAATGCCAATCCTTTTTCCAAAACTTTTCATAAACCTAGTGAAACAAAATTATTTCATATGTTGTATATTCATGCCAGATGGTTATTGTTCAGGTTACCAAGTAAATTTTATTTATTAAGAGTCAATTCCAGGCCAGCAAGTGGCATGGTGGTTAAAGGTGCTGGATTCCCACATGGCCTACTGCGGCTTGAGTCCTGTACCTGGGGGTTTGCTTTCTCACTTTCTCTTTCTCTCTGTCTCTGTCTCTGTCTGGTCAAATTAAAAAATAATAATAACAAGTGGAATTAAGTAAATAATTCTTTTAAAAATAAAAAAGAGTAAACTCCAAATTGGCCTAGAACTTTGGAATTAATCACCGACATGGAAGTAGCACAGAACATTTCACAAAATGCAAACTTGATCACTTGATAGCCTACTTTAAGCTCTTTTGTGTTGGGTGCCATCCATTACTACTAAATCTACTGAACTTTTCCTATTTGCTTAGAATAATTCCTATAGATCCCTGCACTCTGATATCACAGGAAACCAAATGAAATTTAATTACCTAAGAAGTGACAGCAAAAGTGAGAAACTTGATTGACATCTAAAGGGCAGCCCCGTCATTGAATGCATGACACAGGAGACCTCTATGGTCTGTCACTGGCTTCTCCAGTTCCCTGGGCTTCCTGTGGAAGTCCTCTGATCACATTGCAATGACTATACTACTTCCCTCCAGGGCCCATTGCCACTTTAAGCCCTTGAGTTGTTCTCACTAGTTGAAAAAAACTCTT